ATGAATTATGGAAAAGAATTGGCTCACGAACGTTGCAAATGCAAATAGAGAGGCTAAATTTATCAGATGAATTATCCATTTGATACTGGATTACTTGCTAGGGGCTAACTTATGACTCCTTTGCTCATGCAGAGGACTGCTCCAGCCCCAGTGCAGTCTGCCACAGTAAGCAGAGAGAACGATGCCTCTCAATACCAGTACAGAAATTACAGCCCCTGCTTAGGAGTTGGCTCACGTATTAGTGCAGAGATTGGCCTTTTTAATACAAAGGCCTTCATTCAGCCATTTAGACAGTTTCCAATTTGATTCCAAGCCTAGGAGATCTCTTAACAATGAATTTCCTCTGCAATTGTAATATATTTGCACATTTTATGCACAAGCGGGATGCTGTGCACCCTCCTGAAGTAATAGGAGAATTATTATAAGGCAGTAGCTCTCATCCATATGGTTTGGGTAGGGGAAACAGCGTTTTCATCAACCAGGATGAAAGCAAAAAATGCATTAAATATCATAGCCCGTAACAGAGGGAAGAAAAAGTTTTCTCAAGATGAAGCAATCTCTCTCTCTCTTTCCTAACACTGATAATGGTTCAAAAAAGAAAAAAAAAAAAAACAAACAAAAAACCCTCCAACAACAACAACAAACTCCTGGGCTCAGCATCCTTTCATTAGCTTTAAAAGGACACGAGTCTAAAAGCATGCACCTTCCATCTGCAAACTGGCTTAATGAAAGCGCAAATGCCCTTTCTCCAAAAATTTTTGCCATGTTTTAGTGAAGTAATTTTTTTACTCTGTTTAAAGCAGCAAGAAGTAATATAACCTTGGATGCTGCAGCTTCACAGGACATCCCTTTTATAGCACTAGTTCTATAAAAAAAAATATTTTCAGAAAAAAAATGTTTCTCCTCTCCAATCCACTGGTAACAGGTGGTAGATTTAGAAATACTTTAAGCATTACAATTGAAGATAAACCGTTTATAATATATGACAGTCACCATGAAAAATAAGCATTTGCCAAAGGTCCTTACAAGATTATCTGTCTGACATATTAAGTAGCTTTGTGTACACAGAATACAGGAAGAAAAGAGAAAAGGTATCTTTGCTCCAGCTGGCAACTGTTTACAAATGCTCTTAATTTTCCTCCTATCTATAGAATCCTAGAAGTATGTATCACTCCAAGGTAAATGTTGGCAAATCTAGCTTTTCAAGGGGGATTGAATTTTCTGGTAAGTCTTATAGATGTGTTTAGTTAGCAAGAAAAGTAATGCCTGATGTCTGGACTCCGTAGAGTTCTATTAGAAGAAACAATGAATTCCAAAAGAAAAAATTATCTAAGTAACAGTTGCTTTCCCAGAAAACTCACTCATACTACTAATAGCAATGAATCCAGCAATGGAAGAACTACACATATGAGCCAGAACTGCAGGCAAAGATATTTTATTTGCCTGAAAGACATTCTCTCAGTTTAAGTAGAAAGAATGTTCCAACACAGGTGAAGGGAGAATAGCTGGCCTATGCCATTGCACAAAGAGATAGGGCCCAATTCATAAAAAGAATAAAACATATCACTGTGGCAGTGTTTAATATATTAAAACAGTGATCCATTTTAAGCAAATGAAGTTGTTCTTTTTACTCCTCTTTTCTTACTACAGTATACAAAATCTTCTCAGCAAAACTCCAGAGGATCAATAGAAAATTCTGCCTTGACTAAGACCCTTTCTTAAGCAAACCAGGACTTTTCTGGACAACTTTGACATGAGAACCTATGTCTGAATCAAAGATAAGTGGTGCTCTGCTCCCTCTTGGAGCATGCTGGCTCTGGATTGGGTTGTGCAATCACTGAGCTTGAATCAGAAATGGTGAGACTGTTACAACTGCTCAGTTACTGCACAACTTTCCTGCACTGCTAAGACACGACATTACTTAGAAGTCTGTCTCTTCCCCCTATATATTTAAAGTTTGAAAATGACAAGACTCTTGGCAGTTGTCTTCATATCAATATTATTACTTGACTAATTTCTTCAGCATTCCACTTGCAAAAAAGGCCTAATGATATGTTCAACTAATGGAACAATTTCCCTATATCTATACTCCACTTACTCTAATGCACTGAGGTGTAATTCTAGCTTCATTTCATTACCACTTTCATTACCTAGCTCAAGCACTTGCATGTCTTTTTGGATTTATTAATGCAGTGGGTTTAAAGTAATAACTATTTATGTATATAACTCTATGAATATATTCTTCTTTCTAAGCATTTTTGTCCACATCTATTAAAGTAGATATATTTCACAATATTTCTGAATGCAAGATGCACTTTTAAAATGCCTGGATGCTTTTTCTCTAAGCTTAAAGCAATACCTCAGTATTATTCTCTCCTGTGAGTGTTTAGATAGTGTCCTATCAATTTAAATTTCCTTTAAACCAAAACAAAACCACCAGTTTCATTAATTTCTTCCACAGCAGAAATATCAGGAATTTATTGCCAAAGGTAGAGGCAGTTGCTAACTCCTTGACACAGAACCATGTTAGCTAAGTCTACTATGCAGGAAACCAGTCCTGCAGAGAGATGGGATATCTCTACAGTGACAAGAGTCTGCTGATAACTTGTCCAGGTCTGCTATGTTAAATGTAGATGGAAATTCCCAAGACACCTGAAAAAAGGAACAAATGCCAATCTGGTGATCTCCATCCAGAACCTCAGCTGATGTTCTCACCAGGAGGAAGTTTAGCATGGGGCTGACCTCAGCTGACATCTGCTGAAATGGTGGTACCCTGTGGAAAAGTGTCATTTCAAGATGGCAAAGAAAGCCTGAGACTGTACATGAATGGTTAGGGCACTCCACAAAAGAGACCCAGACACTGACCATTTCCCCAGTGACACTACAGGAGAGTGATTTGGGAAGAAAGTCCTGCCTCTCCCTGTCTCCTCACAAGTTGAAGATCTAAAGACACTAAAAATAAAACACTAAAATAAAAACTTCCTGAACCTCTGGCTACTGATCCACCCACAGGAAATCCTTCACTGCATCAGGAATAAAGTTCTAGAGCTACAAAGGTTCCTTTTAAGGCCCTGGCTAATCAGACAGCAGATACCCAGTAACATTAAGGCATGTCAAAAGCAGAATCATTAGTTATGAAAAAATTGCAACCAGGCGTCTATGAAGATGGGTCCTAAGGTATTTTATTAATCTAATCCTACAGTAATATATCTAAATTTCAGATACTGAGAACTAAACTTTCTCTGGACAGCTGAAAATTTTGGATGAACCTTTTTTACAGCCACATATGCAGAACACTGGATTTAGAGGGTCCCTACCATGATCACCTGTCTACATACCAGAATCCAATTTTTCATTTGAAAAAAAAAATAAAACCTTTACATACATGAGAATAAATGTACTTTTGAAACTATGGTATGGCAGATCATCTACAGAATGTGGTGTAACGAAATTATATGTTTTTCTATAACAAAAGACCCAGCTGCACAGGTTCTTTGTAGACAGGAGTTCAATAATGTCAAGTTTTAAAAAAATCCAAATGAAATATATCTTCTACTTTGCTGTCTTTCTGCCTTTGGGCTTGTCATGACACAGCTCTGAAGCATCTTCTTGTCTCTCAAACTTTCAAACCCAGGTGGGTTTTACATTTATAGAAATAATGCCAGGCTTTACACCATGATTTCCAAGGCCTTAGAGATGAAAGTGAGCATTAATGATCTTGACTTGTTGACAAATTGAGGCTATATTCTTCTCTCACATAATCTGAAGGGCAGTAACCCAGCCAGCAACAGTAGGCAGGGTACTGCCACTTTATCCTTTGGGTTGGGTACACTGACAAAAAAATGAAATCACTCAATGGATGGATTAGATATGAAGGCAGCTTCTTGAAATGCATGTTCAGTGTGCTCCAGACAAGAATATTATTAAGTGGTTAGACATCATTTGATGCTACCTGAATAATTCAATAGGTCTTAAAGTTTCAGCTGCCAATCACTGCAAACTGGCAATTACAAAGTCATCTACAAAAAAGCTTTGTTCTAGTGAGATGAGACAAAAATATCACAATTTCCATGCTACCAGACAAAGCAAAAGGAAAAAAAACACTAAGGCTACAGTGACAAAACAGTCCTGTGAAATTAATGGAACTCTGAACACACCAAAGCTCTGCTCCCTATTACTCCAGGGCCATTTCCACTAGACAGACAGCATGGGGACTACTGGGAGATAAAACAAAACACTAAAATCTGGATCTTTTCACACGCAGTTGAACTGATGTAAGCACAAAGCAATATAAAATGGGAGGAGTTTTAGGGTTGATAAAATTATGGAGAGCAGTTTTCTAATGAAGTGCGATAAAAATAAATCACAGGTTTATAGGAGGAGGGGGATTAGCAAATTTACTATCCACCAGGTTTCCTTAAATCTAGAAAGCAACCTCCTGTGTGAAATCCAAGATGAATGGCTAACATTTCCCAAGTGCTCCAGTGAGAGCCATCTTTCTCCCATTCATTCTTACACTGGGACAGCTCAAGTTTAAAGCCCTCATTCAGACACAGTTGGGCTCTAACCCCTGTGGTATCTTTTCAGACCCAGAGAAACCTTACCAGCATTGTTAATGAAAGACCAAAGTGTGCACAAAGTGTATGGAAAAGCAATACACACTATATACTATAGCTATATACATTAGTGCAAATAATTTCCTTCTCAAGAGTCAAGAGAGGCAGAACCATGCACCAAGTTTTGGGAAAAGATACACATACAGCATGGAATGAAGAGATTGGCTGTGCTGAGCATACAAAAGCAGTATTAGACGTAGCTTAAATAGTTCACACATTTTAAATGTCTGCATTTGTCCAGGATCAGAGCCTCTATGTGCAGCTGATCTTTAAAGAAAGTTCACATTTCAGTATTTGGCTTTGGAAAGAAGAAAATATGCCAACTGTTGCATTTTTTTCTGCATGCTTTTTTAAAGTCAAATGGTGCTTGATTACTGTACCTACCTAGAGGGAAAAAGTCGCCCATTTTCTTCTTGAAAATTTTGTAGTCAACCTCCAAAAAGACACAGAAGATGATACGATCCACCTGTAAGAAACAAAATTATTCACAGTGAAAGCATCATAATCATCCATACTGGCAACAACAGTCAATAAAGGCAAAGAAACTTTTAAGCCAACGTGCTTTTATGCTTCAGGCAAACAAGAAAACAGGGCTGCATGTCTTGACTTTATTGTACATCTGTGTTGTAATTTACAATATAACCTTTGCAATCACAGCTCACAACTGTATTCTTTGTTAACTGCCTCTTGTTTATGCAAACTGCTCTCAAGCACAGTATAAATGACTTTGGCATTCCAGATGAGAACTGGGATGCAATGTTTGATGAAAAAGTCATGTGGGGACTTCTAATAAGCCTACAGAAGAGTAAATGGGTAAGCAAAGAGCTCTTTTTCCAATCCTTGTCCGACAAACCTATTTGCAAACCCATTTAGTATTTTAAAATGGCTTTAAAAGGTTTCATGTGGTTTTAATTTAAATGAAACCACTTATTCTCACTGTAATACAAATAGAATGCAGCAGAAACACAAAAGCTGATTAGATGACAGGTAGCACACAGGGTAAATAAAACATTTAATATGCCATCTACTTAGCGAGGCTGAGCATATCAATGAAACCACAGCCTGTAATGTATGCACCACCCACCAATGAGTTCAAATAAATTCTTTTGGGAGATCACTGTATGTGAAAAGCTTTTCTGAAATAGACCAAAAATAATTAAAAATCTAAATAAAACAAAACCAAGAAAGTGAAAGCCTTTAAGGCTAAAAAACACCCACACTGGACTTCAGCCTTGCAATACCTTTGTGTTATTTATTTGCATTTCCCAGCACAAAATGCCTCTGTAGCCAAAACCCATCTTGGAGGGGTGCTGTGGAAAACAAAAAGACCCTCTTACAGCTGAGCTGAGGGACCCACAACCCAGTAATAATTTCTTTCTCTGAAGTGCATAAGAGTTTAACCACAACAGGATGAAGCCCAAGCAATAGGAAACTTGGCATCTCATGCTGTCATGGTGTCTCCACGGGCAATAGGACAATCTGTCACAGCAGAACTCCTCAAGAGTGCCTTTGCATGTGCTAGAAAAATCATAAGCCTCCCCCCTGCAGGGAAACGGTGAGAGGAATGCTCTCAAGATGTAAATTCTTTCCCTTATCTTCAGTAGAAAATGCTGTCCTTTTGTTGCAGCTGATCTTAGAAGTAGAGTCCAAGCCTTGGCTTCAAAGACACCATTATGCTGAACAGCTCAGGACATCATTTTTGAGCTCCCTGCAGCACAGCCTGGTAGAATCCAGGAGGGGATGAGAGCAGGCAAGCACTGGTTATGCTGGAAAATACCAGCAGCTACTAACAAGGACATCTTGGAACAAAAGGTGATGACAAAACCTTAGCTGGGATGATGTCATCTGAATGATCAGATCAGCTATGTAACATCACAACTAGCAATAGTCCAAGGGGAAATGGCATCAAGTTGCACCAGGGGAGGTTCAGGTGCGATATTTGGAAAAATTTCTTCATTGAAAGAGTGGTTAAGCACTAGAACAGGTTCCCCAGGGATGTGATGGAGTTCCCATCCCTAGAAATGATAAAAAAATGAGGATAGGTGGCACTTCACAACATGGGTTAGTGGGAAAAGTGAAATTCACTCAAAGGTTGAACATGAAGACCTTGGAGATGTCCAACCTTACTGATTCCATGACACTCTATGAGACTGAAGGTACAAGCCGTGTTGGTGTTAAGGAAGAAGGTGGCTTGTGAGCAGGAGAGAAGGCAGCAGAGCAGGGAAGGCTATCGGCAGATTTTTCAGCAAAAAAAAAATTTTCAGCCTGCTGCTGTCTGCTCATATGATGCTTACAGAGCCAAGCTGTTCTGTGCATCCCTCGTAAACAAACCAGGCTGGATCTTAAAAAATTCTGGACCATGGCATCAGCTACTCTTATAAAGGGATATAACAAAAAACTCAAATACTAGTTGTGGGCTCAAGCCAAAAAGCCATACTCATCTCCATACCCACAATTTCATAATTTGGCATCTTTGCCAAGAAGTGTTACACTTTACCTACATGAGATTTGACATGATCTCTAAGGTTCCTACCAACCCAAACTATTCTATAATTCCATGGTTCTGCCTAAGCTGGTTGTTTTCAGGAGGGAGGCTTTAATCAGCAAGTGCTTAAATTACATTTCTTGTGAAAATTAGATCAGGATATTTCTGGGGTGTTGCTAGATTGTCATCTTCCCTCTCTGCCTTGCAGACTTTCAAGCATTAAAAGTGATAGGCCCAATGAACCAGAACAGACAAAAGAGCAAGGACAGAAATGTATAAAGCAGAGGAGGAAGGATATTCCCATACAGAGAAGTTTCTGAGTCTCTGCATAATTCCATATTCTCTGCTGAAAATCCTACAGAAATTTGCCTCGTTCTATATAGTCCAACTTCTCAAGATGTTTCCTTTACTTTTATTTATTCAGTGCAGCTATCAATAATAAAACTTCTCCCTGAGAATTTCTACTACTTCTAATATAATTCCTTAATTTAAAAATAGGGAATCTCTCTAGAATTGGCAGACTATTTCAAAATTTCTAGCCTCCTGATTGTACACATCCTATATATAAACCTGTTCCATTTCTTCTTGATGTGAGAAAAACTGCTCTATTTTTAAGTATGCATAAGATATTGTGATGACAGCTGAAATCCTGTGTTTATCTGATTGCATGGCATGTGTTGGCAGATAGTAAATCTGAAATTAACCCCTATTCTATCATTCTGCCAGTCACTGGCTATTTTATCTAATATTCCCAGCTATAATATCTTGAGATTACATAGGGAAAGCATCCCTTGTCCTCACTATGCCCATTCCAGCTACAATAAGGAAAGGTTTAATCCAAGCCACTATCAACCTACTTTTCCTGCTGGCCCACAAAAGCTCAGCAGGATTTTTGGGACATGCAGTTAGGAAATCCACTCCTTATTCAACAAGGAAATCTCTCATGTGGCCTGGAAATGCCAGCTTCATTAGAGTGTCACACCATGCCTTTAGAGAGGCTGAGGAATAGCTCCTGTGGACTCTCCCGACAGTGCCCAGATGAGACCCCCAGTGCCTTTTGCAGATGCTCAGCTCCTCCACTGCTGACCAGGCACCACTCAACTGCAGCAGAACTGTAAAGGAGCTCCAGGTTGAAGCTCATCCCTGATTGACAGCTCTTTTTTGAAGGCTGGTATTAAAATCAACCATGCCCTGTCAGAGCCAGATTAAATTCTGCTCACTTTGCAGCTAAGAATAGGTGGATCAAAGAATCCCAAAATCAAGAGCACTGCAGCACAGGAAGAAGGGAGTTAAAATGCATGAGCTGTTCACTTAGGCACCTTCACAGCTCAAGGCTGTGAGTACATTTGATTGTTTTGGTTGTTTTTTTACCTTGGGCGATGCTTTCCTTGCTTTATTTAATTTTGATGGGAATAGCTTCCAGGTGGCTTTGTTAGCAGCACCTGATAAGAATTAGTAAACTTCTGCAGGGTTTACAGGACTTAGGCTATTTTTTTAGAATCACAGAATGGTTGGGGTTGGAAGTGACCTCAAAGATAATCCAGTTCCAATTCCCCCATCATGGGCAAGAACATTTTCCACCAGATCTGATTCCTCCAAGCCCCACTCAGACTGGCCTTGGACACATTTTTTGCAGTAGAATTGACCCTAACATCAGAGTTTTAGAAGGACACAGCCATATCTCATGAACTGAAAACCTCTCCACTGGTGTTTTCAATTAATGAGATATGGGTATGAAAGCACAGTTGGTCTAATAGCAGCACTGATCTTAGTGCAAAAAAAGTGGCAAAGATATTTCTTCCTGGTTTTTGATCTTTGGGGTTTTGTTAGTTGGTGGCTTTGAAAGCACTTTACATCTTGTGAGTTTTCAATTTATTGGTGAGTTGCTGCACCTTGGGTGGGTTCACTCATAGACCACTGATGGTCTGTGAGAGCTCCATGGAAGGCTGGGCAGGTGGGTGCTCAGGGACATGCATAGGAATGATGGAAAGCTGCTGAAGGTCCCTTAAACTTGCCATAAAGGGCCCTGCTCTCTTCTGCAGTGTGTGGGAAGACACTGCATGTTTACATGCACATCTCTGCACGCAGCTGCTGCTGCAGTAGGAATTTACAGCTGTATCTATATAAAAAAGACAGAGAGTGATTTCTTACATGGACATACAGAGATAGTTTAAAACTATTCCCCCTTATCCTAAGAGAAGAGATTAAGATTAGCTGTTAGGAAGAAATTCCTTACAATGAGGGTGGTTCAGGTTGCCCAGAGAAGCTGTGGCTGCCCCATCCCTGGAAGTGTTTAAGGCCAGGCCGGGTGGGGCTCTGAGCAACCTGGTCTAGTGAAAGCTGTTCCTGGCTGTGGCAGGGGGGCTGTAATGAGATGAACCTTAAGGTCCCTTCCAACCCAAGCCTGTTTGTGATTCTCTGTATATTTTAGCATCAAACACATCTATGTTTTTATCTCAGCTCTTTTGCTGTGGTTTTGGGCAGGTTGTGTGATTCCTCTGGCTTCATTTCCCTATCTGCTTAGGGGACAGGAAGACCTGGCTGTGCACCTATACATTGCTTTAAAGAGTCACTGCCAAGCACAATCCACAGGACGTGCCAAATGCTTTCATAGGTATAGCTGTATGTACACCCAAGTAATGAGCTATATATCAAACAGAGATCTGAAGCAAAATACTGATCAAAAGGCTTTCTAGACTATTTCATATAATGAGGTGCTTCCATGTCGTTGCCACCCCATGTCCTAACAAAATAACAGCTTGCAATGAAAACAAACCCAAGTATGTTTCAGCACTCCCAAGTACTTCACGCATGTGTCCAGCACCAAGACATTTGTCTAGCAGGAAGTGACTGCTTTTTATATGCGTCAAAAAGTTTCATCATCACTTAAATCTTACCAGAAAATACATGATAGAAAAACAATGAAAACTTGCAAAAAATGTTTCCCAATCCTAAATCAAATGAATGCTAATACAGCACAA